CCCCCCCCCCAACACCCCTCCGGGCTACGCTAGAAATGAGGCCAACCGGCAAAAGATCCTTCTGCCAAGTGGTGGCACCACGCGCTACGCTACGCCACGCCACGCCACACCGCGCCACGCCCGGGCGGGGCGGCGACCGCAGAAGAAAGTTGTTGGGGGACGTCTGATGAAGGTTATTGGCGACGCACCGGAGCGAGAGCATCGCGGCATCTCGGCCTCTCCGGCTATAGTTCAACGGCTCGGGGTCGGGGCAGGTCAGCGTCGGTCAGGTTTGCAGCAAAGGCACCCATGAGTTTTACTTTTCAAACCAAATGTCTGTTGCTTTTCAATGAGAGCCACTTTTTTCTCTTCGTTTTATGAAGCAGCAGTCGACCGGGAGCGCCTGGAGCCTCGTGCAGGTCACTATGGTCACTGACTTCGAGCGCGTTGGGTGGCCGCAAGCGATCGCCCGCGACGGTTTCGAACCATTGAAAAACACGCGACAGTTATGATCCAATTTAAAATCAATGGATGTTTTACTGTCGGTAGTGTGTATAGAACAAGTTTCAAACGAAATCACGAGTACGATTTTGAATTTAACGTTTGGAAATAAAGACGCTAGTTAAATGGAACTAGAAATGTTGGGGTGAAGGCACCCTTTTCGTGGGTGTGTTTTGGAGTGTTACCTGCGCACGTCCTCGCCTCATTTCCTGGCCTGGCTCCGCCACGACCATCCGCGGGCTGAAAATATTCCGACCGAATCAGACGCCGCAGGCGAATAACTCGACGGAGTACTGCGACCGCGCACCCGAAAATCTGCGTTCTTGAAAAAAGTGGATCGCCCGCCCGCAACGCACGCGTGCAAAGACGGGTAGCCACCAGAGGTCGGCATCCGCTCCCGAACGGGTCCCACTCTGAGCGCGCGCCGTGCGCAGTCGGTGTGCGAGAGAGACAGAGCTAGAAACCCGAGGTAGCGATGGCGATGGACCGAACCTCGCCGACTGCAGCCGAGCGAACGGGACCCGTTTGAGTGGCCGAGCCCCGCCTGCCGGTCACCTGAGGACGTGGCGTGGCGTGGCGCGTAGGCAAAGTCGGTCCAGCGCCACGCCACGCCACGCCTGGCCAGCAGACGGGACCCGTTGACACGATCGAGTCTCGGCGAGTGGGAGTGAGCGAGCCGGACCGAGAGCGGACGGGACGGGACGGGACGGGTGACAGAGCGAGCGGGACGGAAACGAGCTGGGTTTGGGAGCCGATGCCGACCTCTGGTAGCCACTTTGGGCAGTGTTCACAAAAATGACTCAAAATAAGTCTTCAGTGGGGCCGAAAATGTCAACAAACTGACTGACATTGTCGCAACAGTGTCGCTCACCCAAAAGTCACTAAATTCACCCGGAAAAGCCAATTCTTGGATCAAGCCCAATTTTCTTGAATTGAGTGCAATGATCTTGCTGCTGACAGCAAGTATAGTTGGTAACTGAGGCGTGGGCTCGGGCTTGGGCCCAAATCAACCCCAATTTGTACTTCAATCGCCCTCTTTGCGCTTGTCTGAACAAAATTATCTTGGTTCAAGGCCAAATTGAGGTTGGATTAATCGTCAAATTGTTCTTGAAATTTTCAAGAACAGGCTTCTCTGGGTAATTGGAAACGTTCATTGGCATGGTTCAAAGTTGACTCACCCCGGTGCATATGTGTAACAGCTTCGTCAGCAAGGCATTACAGAGTTGCCGTAGCACCAGTAATTCCTGCTAATATCCTTAAGTACTGGCATCCGCTTCCATGGAGGCCTGCCGCGTGGAGGCAGAAGCAGAAGGGTCTAAATTAATTAATAAGCAATCCCGCAGACTCATCCCGGCCGACGCACGTGGCAGGCTGGTCGTCACGGCGGCCCCCTTTGGGGTGGTCGGGAGCGCCTCTGCTCTGAGACCCCTGGCCCCCCGGAGGGGCAAGAGCAAAGCCTGAGGAAAGGAAAAGGTAAACTCGGGAGTTTGAGGCGGTTGGGGTCAGCCATCACGGGGGGCACGGAAGGAAGGGAGCAAGGTAAAATAAAATCAGAATATAGTGGGCGTGCCGGGGGCCGGGCCAGCCGGGGCTGTTGAGCTAATTGTTGGCGACCACAACACAAGAACACAAGGCGCCCCAGGCGGCGCCCTCCCTCCCTCCGTCCTCTTCTTTCTCATCCATCTCTTTTCTCTGTCGCGCCAAAACAATAAGCAGCAGTCGAAGCGCGGGGAGCGGGCGGCAGGGCGGCAGGCATGGCGCTCACACTCTCGCACCTGCGCGAGAAGGGCTTCCGGGACTCCCGGTGGACGGCAGAGGACAAGCGCGACCAGCTCCAGGATGTCATCAGACTGCACCGTGAGCACTCTGTGGAGGGGCAGGAGGCGCACGGCCCTCGTCGTAAACAGACAAGTCCTTAATCGAAACCATAAGCGTTGCACTAGGCGCACTACTCAAAAGTAAAAGTTGTCAAATGAAGACACAACTTTCATTGACTTGACTCAATAACGCAACGTAAACAATTGGTGGTAGTACAAATATACCGATCAATCGCAAACCCGCGCGAAACCCTCATTTTTCTTGCACAATTAACAAATTCCTCACCTCACTACTGAGGGAAATGCACACACAGCTATAATGTTAATTAATTAACGTATTAACATGTAAACACTCACGTCATTCCATAGGTTACCACTTCTACGTATCTTGAACACAAACTAGACCTTTTTGTCAACATCGCGAGGGAAAAGTTCCTAAAACGGACATTTTGAAACGTCCACATATTTATTGTGAAAAAAGTTCAGTAAGAATTTGGGGGTGTACGAGTTGTTCAATCCGGTTCAAATCTTGTAATGTGTGTTCAAATGCCGACCGGCGCGAGTTGTGACCCGCTCCTCGTCACCGATACAGATATTAAAATCAGAAGGTAGTCTAGTCAAAAATAAATTGTCACTAAAAGAAAAATCCAAGCCAATTTAAAACTGACATTTTACGACATTGTTTTGTTTCAGACTTCGAATATTATTTATAAATAATTTGTTGAAAATATACATGACTACTCATAGGCCGCAAAAAAAAGCTAAAATAGCTAATGCATTTGCTAATTTGGCCTTAGCTAATCGCTTAGCTAATTTTTATTAAAGCAGAGAGCTATAATATTTAGACTTCACAGTTAGTTCCCTTTTATTCTAGACAACTTATATGGGTATTTTTTCTCTCTCTTAACTAATAATTGGAGGCGAGCTAATGTTTTTTTTGTTTTTTTTTTTGTTTTTGTTTTTTTGCAGAACGCGACAAGGTGCAGACGGGCAGGAAGGTGGAGGACATGCGGAAGCGCCAGTTCACCGAGGCGCGCACGCTGGCGCGCGAGGTGCACGAGTACCGCGGGCTGCTGGACGCGGCGCGCTCCGGCGACAAGCAGCTGCTCCGCAACACGCTGCGGCGCGACCGGCCCACCCAGATCGCCTTCGGCGGCCAGTCCTTTGAGGTGAGCCCCTGAGTGAGGGTGCTCCTTTGTCCCGCCGTCGGGCTCAAAGTACCCCGGGTGTCCTCCGGGGTGTATACCCCCTGAAATGAGAAATTTGGAGTTTGCTCCCGGGGGTAGAATCTTGTGTACAAATAACATTTACGCCAAAATAATTGAGAGAATAATAGATGGATTTCCGCCAATCACCGAGTTATGCAAAATTGCAACTGCACTGGCATAGTTCAAGTGTTGAAACTGGCACAAGCACCTGCAAGAGTGGCCAGCAGCACCGTACAACGTCACGAGTTCACGGTACTTGAGAAGCTGGGCGCTTGCTTGACCTGACTAGCGCCCGCGCGTCGGCGGGTAGGCCACCCGGCGCACACCGCTGCGGGGCGGGCGGCCCGCGCGCCCCCGTCCCAGCCCCCTCAGCTCATGTTATCATTACCAATAAAATGCTCGCGCGCTGGAAACAGGAGAGGGACCCTCCCCCGGACCCGGAAGGTCGTGTTCGAGTGGAAGGAGAAGAAGATCAGTGAGGACGGATGGGGGGAGGGGGGAGTGGCGCAGTGTAGAGTGGACGCGCGGAAGTTGTTGGAGGCAACGAAAACGTCGGATAACAATAGAGCGGAAGTCGGCAGCTTAGCCCCAGGAAGAGTCAAATAAAGGGGGAAATAATAAAAGCGATTCCCAACGACAGACGGTTCACGATTACGAATTACGTTTTTCTTTTTTTTTTGGGGGGGGGGGGTCTAAAAACTCGACCAATCAGGTGGTACATGTGTGAACATTATATGAAACGTACAGGTACCCAGGTTGAATAAGTATGGGGTGAATATGAAACGGCGGGCAGGCGGAAATGTGGGTAGGAGAATGAAAGGGGGAATTAAAAAAAAAAAAGCACTTACACACACAGAGAGCGGCTGACACCACGCCGCGCGGTCACGCTCTGTAAAAGTAGGGTGAAAATGAAGCAGATGAGTATGGAGAACAAAACGTCCGCGCACACGCACACACACACGTGCATGCGCACACGTCGGACGCGCACACAGACGCGCGCGCGCGTACACACACATGCACGCGCTCACGTGCACGGGCGGACACACACACGTGCGCGTGATGCCATTGTTATTCCCCTGATGCAGTAACAGGCCTGGCCCGCATATTGGCATGTAGTTAGCGGGGACGGCCGGGGCATTTGGAGGGAGCAGGGGGGG